CGAGCAGGGCAGGGCGGCTTGGACCGCCCAGGGGCTTCTCAGCACAAGCCAATGACGGGGGGTCGGAGTGGCTCTCCCTTCCTTGGCCAGAGGCTCTGGGCCTGCTCGTCGCCCTCGGCGCCGGCGCGGGCCCGCTAGCCGGCGGCCGCGCACCCCGAGAGAGCACTGCACACGGAGGCGCACCTCTGGGCCCTCGCCACGGTGGCGGTGGCGATGCTCCACGTGTCCGCGCACGAGGTTCGCTGTAGCCTCTCGGCCTCGGAGCCTGGATCGGCACGGCGGAGCAGGAAGAGCCAGACCCCTGAAGCATTCCCAGACCTCCAACGACATGTCTTTTTCAATCCCGGCGTTGCTCCTCGATCGCGGCCTCCAGGGCCCACAACCAGGCCCCGGGGCAGACGGAAACGGATCCGGGGCGAAAACCTTACCCTGGGGAAGGGGCCAGAAGCTCTAGGGCCGCGAACTGAAACAAATCGTCGGACATCTGGGCCATCATGTGAGATTCGCGCTTTTTCAGATCAATTTCGGCGTCCGACCCCCTAACGTTAGGTCGGGCACGTCCTCCTGCAGACGGATTCTGGAAGAAAGAAGAAACGTAGTCAAACCATTATCAAGCATAGTCCAACAACAATGTGAAAATTCGTCACCATACCATGTGTTCAACGCCCCCAAGAAGGTCTGGGTCTGTTACTGTGGGAACCAGTGGACGTGGCAGCGGGACGACTACAGCCCGAAAAGCAGCCAGTCCCGTACACAAAAGCCATCCAGGAGCCCTAGTCGTTCAAGAGAGCAGCCTGCACGGAAGCCCGTCGCCCTCGGGGCCAGGTCGCCCGCGAATCGACTCGGGAGGCGCTGCTCCGCGGGCCGTGCGCGTGAGGGAATCTCCTGCGCGGCTCGCCGCGGCGGGCGCTGCCTCGCGGAGCTGACTCCGCCCGCGCGTGGGCCCAGGATTGCAAACAAAAACGAAGGATTGCAACAACAAGCCTTCGTTTTTTTGCAATCCTGCGAAGGTTTTTTTTTTTTTTCTTTTTTTTCAATCCTTCGTTTTTTTTTGCAATCCTTTTTTTTGCAATCCTTCGACCGAAGCCGTCGCCGCCGTCGCCCGGGCCGTGGCCTCCTCCCCAGGCCGCGGGGGGGGAGGGTCTGCCTCGGCCTCGGCCCCCGGCGAAGAGGCGCCGTCCGGCGGCCGCGGCGACGCGTCCTGCGGGGAAGCCTCCCGGGGGGGGAGGAAGGGCGGGGGGCGGCGGCGGGGCGCGGGGGCGGTCGCGTCCCTCCTTCTCCTGCTGCCTCTCCCTCTCCTTCTCTCCTTCTCCTCTCCCCTTCCTCCTCCTCTTCCTCCTCCTGCTCCCCCTCCTCCCCCTCCCCCCACTCCCATTCCTTCTCCTTATAAATAACTCCTCCCTGTCGCACCCCGAAGCTAGCTTTTAGGGCGGGCCGGGCGTTTCGCCTGAGACTTCCTCACAAGTTATGACCCTGAAGCTTAAAACGTGACAACCGTTTCACACATGGAGGGCGGGTGTTTTTTTAGATGTGGCTCTCGCCTTAGCGCCGCGCACATGCGCTTTAAACATTTGCAAAAACTTTGCGGATTGAAAGGCGGGTTGTTTTCAAAATGTGGCTCTCGCCTCAGCGCCGCGCACATTCGTTCCAAACATTTGAAAAGCTTCACGGATTGAGGGCGGGTGGTTTTCAAACTGTGGCTCTCGCCTCAGCGCCGCGCACAATCGCTTTAAAACGTTGCAGGAGTTTCACGGATTGAGGGCGGGTCGTTTCCAAAATGTGGCTCTCGCCTTAGCGCCGCGGGCATTCGTTTAAAACATCTGCGGGAGTTTCACGGATTGAGGGCGGATCGTTTTCAAGATGTGGCTCTCGCCTTAGCGCCGCGCACATTCGTTCTGACAATTTGCAAAACAATAGCGGATTGAGGGTGGTTCCTTTTCAACATGTGGCTCTCGCCTTAGCGCCGCGCACAATCGTTTTCAAGCATTGCAAGGGTTTCACGGATTGAGGGCGGTTCCTTTTCAAAATGTGGCCCTCGCCTTAGCGCTGCGCACATTGGGTTCAAATATTTGCAAGAGTTTCACGGATTCCCATGACCAACGTACCAGAAATGGTGTTGTGGAAGGGTTCAGGATTATGCGGGTGCAACATTGATCTGCGGTGTTGAAATCCCAAAAATGGCGCTCTGGCACCATTCCGGATCGTCAAGACGTAGCAGTCAGGTTGATACGTGGCGTTGAAATCCCGAGAACAATGTTTTGGCATACTTCAGGATCTTCAAACGGCTGTCTTCCAACGAGGCGGTTCCCTCAACGGAAATGAACCGCTGTGGGGGCCTATGAAGAGGGAGCTTGGAGGGAGGGTTAATTCCAACATCGTTGATGACTCATGGTTTTACACTGGTCCTCCTCCTCCTCCTCCGTCTACCCCTCCAGATCCATCCTCTCTCGTGGATCTTCGGCCCGCCGCAGCCGATGGCGTGACTCGGCGCAAGAATTCATACATGATGATATACTTGGGCCTGCTCGAAGCCGGGCTGCCGCTCGGGAGTGTCGGCGGCGCTCCGAGGGGGAAGGCAGAAGAAGGGGCCGTCTAAGCCTTCGCCCACAGGGGGGCTCCTCGGACGGCTGGCTAGGGCTCCCAACTTCGCGCTTCGCGCTCCGCGAAGCGCGAATAACTTCGCGCTCTCGCGCCGCCCTCCCAAAGGGAGAATAGGAGGACGAGGAGGAGGGGGAGGAGAAACGAGGACCGCGAAGCGCGAATAACTTCGCGCCCTCGAGGGAGCCCTTGGCTGGTGGCCTTGTGCATCTTCTGAGAGCTCGCCACCGCTCGGACGTCCAGTCCCCGTGCCCTTTTCGGCTTCGCGCGTGCGCGTTTCCGCCAGCTGCCTCCACGCTCTCCTCGATGGCCCTCGCCGAGAACAGAAGCACACGTCCGAGCGATGCCGAGAGAAGGTCTGCCCTTCTCTCGGGTCGGGCGACAGGGGGGGATAGCACAGGGGGGGGGGTGAGAATCAGCTCACGTAGCTGATTTTCCCGGCGCCTCCCGGCGCCGGAGGCGGCCATGCATCGAGGAATGGGCCCCTCGGTGAGGCCGAAACCAGCTGCACGCAGCAGATTTCGTAACCCCCCCTTTCCCAATCCCCCCCTTTCGCCCGGCCCGATTCTCGGACGCCCGGGTGGCTTTTGGGGTCACAGCTCCGCCCTCCGGCTGCCGCTCAAGGGCCGATCCGGGCCCCTCCGCGGAGCGCTCTCGGCGAGGCGGCAGCTGCGAAGGGGCTCAAGGACACACAAATAAATACTCCAGATTTCGTAATAAAGGGAGGGGGGTCTCATTTCGGGGGGGGGTCTCTTCCAGGCTATCTTGGAGGGCCTGAGGGTTTCTGGGGACGATGTTTTGGAGGGTTCTCCCACGGGGGAGGTCTGAAATGGCTTGTCTTGGAGGGTCCAGACCCCCTCCCTTTTATTACGAAATCTGGAGTACACACAAATAAAATAATTCCCCATATTTTCTCATATTTTTGGGGTTTCTGTCTTCCCCCCCACTTCCCATATTTTCCCATATTTGCTGGGGAATCGACGATGAATTGTGTCTGTGTGTTTCCTTCCCTCCTGAAGCTGCTGGAACGCATCCCGAGGCTGGAGCGCCGCCAGGCACCGCCGCCGGTCCCGAGGCTGGAGCTTCCCCCTTCTGCTTCCCCCCTCGGCGCGCTGCTGATCTTCTCGTGCTGCACAGTAGATGCACGGGGGTGGCGCGAGCGAGGCGGCCTTCTCAGAGGCCGGAGGGCGTCTCAGGAGGTCAGGGTCTGCTTCGAAGACCAGAGGGGCTTCTAATGGGGAGCTGTCCGTGGACGTCCGCGCCCAACCACGCACATGAACACGGCCCCCCAATCCGCGAAACCGACCGCGTGATACGAACGGCCGCGCAGTCCGTACTCCCGAAACTACTGTGGATTCATGTGCGTGTACGTCCTTCTTTCGCTCCCGATCTAAGAAGGCTTCTGAGAAGCCCCAGGGGCCTTCTAAGAAGGTTTCTGCCTTCAGAACCCCCCGCCTTCTTGAAGTCCCCCCCTCGCGCCATGCCCCTCTGTGCGCGTCACAAACAAGCCTCGGCTAGAACGGAGGCAGGATCGGGACACATCTAGGTCGGGATACATCGGGAATTTCCGAGGTCCATCGGTTCTGGAGGATTTGTTGATCGCGCGGAACCACCACGCACACGATTGCCCACTGCTCAGTCTAAACGGTTGCGCCCCTGAGTCGACACCCTCAGGCATAAAACTGACAGTCACCGAAGAAGGAGAGGAGGAGGAGGAGGAGGAGGAGGAGGAGGAGGAGGAGGAGGAGGAGGAGGAGGAGGAGGAGGGGGAGGAGGAGGAGGGGGAGGAGGAGGAGGAGGAGGAGGAGGAGGATGAGGAGGATGCATCGGGCGCCGCGCCGTTCCAGAGAGCACCGGAACGCTCTGAGAGCGTTCCAGAAAACACTGAATGATTTATCCGGTCTTAGAACTGCCCGAAGCTTTCTCCCCCCCCGTCATTGGCTTCAAAAGAGCGTCCTCAGGCCCCGTAACCGTGACCGCCCAAAAACGGTCTGGGACGAACCGCAATTAAATATACTTGTCCTCGAGAAAGGCTCGACAGCTTCGGGGCCAACGTGCTCACAAATAGCGTGACATTGGAAGTATGGAGCCACTGCCGCTGCTTCTCCTCCTCCTCCTCCTCCCCCTCCTCCTCGTGCTCCCCAGCCTCCTCTGCTCTACTCCCCATCGTCCACCGTCTCCCCCTCGCTCCCTCGTCCTCTAGGGAACCGAAACATTGCATAAACATAAAAACTCGGAGGTCCGCGCGGATTTCCTGGATCCGCGCGGAGCGCGCCAAGGGGCGGCGCCCGAGACGCCGCTGGGGGTTCCCCAGCGCGGATCCGAGAAATCCGCGCGGACCTCCGAGCTAGTATGTTTATGTCATTCTTCGTTCCCCTACATCACCCACCTGCACGGTTTCTCCCGGGGCCGTAGGCGACCCGAGGAGGAGGAGGAGGAGGAGGAGGAGGAGGAGGAGGAGGAGGAGGAGGAGTCTGGGAACCGTCCGAGGCGAGAAGTGTCCCCACGGCGCACGCGGACCTCACACCTGGCAAAGTACATCACAGGCAACAGATGAGTGGAGAGAACGCCAGGGCGGGTCAGGGTGTGGAGGAGGGACCTTCGCCCCCGAACAGCAAGCGCAATCCTGCATGAAACGAGCTGCAACGTAGCAGCAGGGCGTGAGCCTCGACCGCATGCACTTGCAAGGTAGCAAAAACTTCGAAGCCTGCGCACTTCTGGCATCGCTGCACCGACAAGCATGAGACCAAGCGGCCCAAGCACAACCTGGTCACAAACAAATTCGGCACTTCCAGCAGACCGAGCGCAGCCGTCTGACTTGCGACTTGGAGATCTCAGCCATCACTTGGTCGCAAGCTGCTTCAGCGTGTCCAAGGGGACCGATTTGGGTCGCTCGATGGGTAGCCCGATGGCCCTGGCCCAGACAGTCTGAGCCATGACGCCGATGGCACGGGAGACGGCGAAGACGACCGTGTAATAGTTTTCCTCCTTCAGGTTGTAGAAGTGCATGAGCTGCCCGCTGTGGGCATCAACGTTGGGGAAGGGGTTCTTCACCTTCCCCTTCTTCTGCAGAAGCTCTGGGATGGCCTGGTAGCAAGCGTCAACGAGCTGGAAGAGGGGGTCGCTCTGGCAGTGCTTCAGCGCAAACTCGCGCTCTAGCATGTAACGCGGGTCCGTGTTCCGAAGCACGGCGTGGCCGAATCCCGGGATCACCTTTCCGGAGGCCAGGGTCTCCTCTGCGTACTGGGTGAGGAGCGCCTTCGTCGGCGTCTGCCCCTTCAGGTCCTTCTGCACCTGCAGCAGCCAGCCGAGGCACTCCTGGTTCGCCAGGCCGTGCAGTGGCCCCGCGAGTCCGCAGAGGCCTGCGGCCCAGGAGTAGTAGGGGTCGCTCAGCGCGGAGCCCACCAGGTGCGCTGTGTGCGCCGACACGTTGCCCCCCTCGTGGTCCGCGTGCAGCATCAGGTACAGGCGGGTCACCTCCTTGAACTCCTCGCTGCTGTTGACGCCCAGCATGTTTGCGTAGTTGGCCGCCCAGTCCATGCTCTTGTCGTATGCTGGTCCAGCGCCGTCCTTGAAAGTACGGCGGTAGATGGCGGCTGCCACCACGGGGATCTTGGCAACCAGGTCCAGTGCGTCCTCAAGCGCGTACTCCCAGTACTCGGACTTCTTCATTCCCTTGTCGTACGCGGCGGAGAATTTCGAGTCCTTCTGCATGGCCAGCATGCACATCGACAACTGGGTCATCGGGTGCGTTTCCTTGGGTACGGAGTCCAGCGTGGCCATCACGTTGGCGGGCACGGCGCTCCGGTTGTGAAGCTCGAGCGTGAACGCCTTAGTCTCGGCATCGGTCGGCACCTCGCCCGTCAGCAACAGCCAGAACGCAGCCTCTGGCAGCGCGCACGACCCGCCAGGCGCCTTTGGGAGGGCCCTGTTGACGTCGTACAGGGACATGCCCCGATAGCTGATGCCGTCGTTCGCGTCCAGATCGGAGGTGTCGGTGACCATCGTCTTCATGGACCGCGCGCCGTTGATCGCCATCTCGACGGTGACCTCCTGGATCTTCGTTTCGCCATGGTTCTTGAGGAGGTCGTTTTTCAGTGCCGTCTTCTCCTTCGCCAGGGCTGCGATCTTTCCTTTCAGCGTCGTCAGGATGGGCGACTGTGACCCCGACGTGAGCTGTGGGCACAGGCCGTTCGTCGGGCTCTGGGGCTGCACACCGCCTGGGACCACGTGCCTCGCCACGCGCGCGATGCGTTCCATTGCTCGCCCGACTGGAGCGCGGACTGGGGGCTGGAAACAGCCTTGGCGCTCGATAAAAATCAGCTTGAGCCAAAATGGCTACGGAGGAGGAGGAGGAGGAGGAGGAGGAGGGGGAGGGGGAGGAGGAGGAGATGGAGGAGGAGTAGGAGGAGGAGGAGGAACAGGAAGGAGGAGGAGGGAGGAGTAGGAGTAGGAGTAGGAGTAGGAGTAGGAGTAGGAGTAGGAGTAGGAGTAGGAGTAGGAGTAGGAGGAGGAGGAGGAGGAGGAGGAGGAGGACGGGTCGCCTGAGCCCTTCGGAGAGGACCCTCCACACCCACCTCCATGCAGGACGCCTCCGATGCTCCAGCGCCGATGTTGGCCGGGCCCACCCTCGGGCCCAAGAGATCTGGTGTGCACACGCCCTCAGGGCTCGGCCAGGACGGCGCACCGCTCACACACACGCCCTCCCTGGGCCACGCCTCTGGCTGAGGTTAGGTCGGGCATGTCCCCCTACAGGCGTGCGGATTTTGGGGGAACAATGCAAGATGGCCAACAAATGTTCAAACATGGTCAAAAATACTAGAACATCGTCCCAAATTATTTTTGGATTATTCTTGAACGTTCCTCCTTTCGAGGGACAGGCCCGGCTTACGGCTGAGGCCGCCCAGACACGGGGCCGGAGCAGCTGGGGTCGGATGACGGCGCCGCCTCGCCGATGCATGAGCACTGCATCGGCGACGCGAAGGATGGACCAACCATCGGGCTCAAGCCTCATTCGGGTGGCCGGGATCATGCCAGCCCCCCTCCGACAGACATGCGCGCGCGCGGCTGACACGCTCACGCGCGCCCGCCGCCGCCGCCGCCGGGCGCGCCCTCTCGGGCCGTCTCCAGGCCCTCTCGAGGGCCTCCTGGGCCGTCTTGGGCCAGTCCGGGGGGTGTCTCTGGCCGTCTTGGATCTCCAGGCGCCCGAGCAGGCGAGAGCGCGAGAACTGCTCTCAAGCAAGCACCTCGGGAGGATCACGGCCTTTTGGCCCTCTTGGGGGCCCTCTTGGGGGTTTTCTTGGGCCCTTCTGGGGCGCGCGCCTCGCTGCCCGGCGACGGCGCTGGGGGCCGTGGGATCGCCAGGTCGAACGCGGCCTTCGCGGAGGGGCGGGGCCGCGGCGAGGAGAGGGTGGCCCATTGCCGAGCGCGAGGAGAAGGATGGCGGGGGGGGGGTCAATGAGGAGGAGGGGGAGGAGGAGGAGGGAGGGGGGAGGAGGTATAAGGGAGGCAGGGAGAAAGGAGGAGGGAGGAGAAAGAGGGAGGGAGAGGTAAGGGAGGGAGGGACGAGGGAGGAACGAGGAGGACCGCAGGGCCATGAAGATACCAAGTCTCGGAGGAATGATGAGGCAGGAGGGAAAAGGGATGCGGATGCCTCATCGCCTGCTCTGCAAGCAATCAAGCTGACATAATTCGCAAGGAACACACAATCCTGCGACGAGCGAGAGAAAGAGAAATAAAGAGAGAGAGAGAGAGAGAGGCAGAGAGAGAGAGAGAGACAGAACGAGTGTCCACCGTGCCCCCTCCCAATGACGATGAGATACTGCTCTCCCCAACTTCTCGGCTCCCTCATGTGAAGCGCGACTCCCGCGCACGGCATGTAGTGTGCAATTGCACCTGGGGAATGTCGACCAGTTGATCGTCCGTAAGAGTGCAGGCAACGCGCGGTTGGTGGGCGAGAAATAAGGACGACGAATTCTTATGACGAATACTTCTGGATCTCCGTATTATCTAATCTCTACTCGTTGCACTCTGCTTTATTCTCTGCCATCCATTCCTCCACTTGTTGCTCGCACTTTATACTCTACACTCCCTACTCTTTGTACTCGGCACTTTCCGCTATGCATCCTGTTTTCCTACTCTCTCTCTGGATCAGGGCTAGGAGGAGCGCCCGTCCAGGCACGCTGTCTGTGGAGGGGAGGAGTGGGAGGCTGAGGAGGAGGAGGCGGAGGAATCTCTTTGACAGCTCTACTGCGGATCTCACTACGAGCCTTGCTGCAATTCCTGCAGAGCTTTCGCTACAGCTCCCACGCCCGCTTCTATGACAGCTCCCACGGCATATCCTCCTGCGACAATGCCCACAACAGCTCCATCTTCATATTGTACAGCAATTCCTGCACCAGTGCCTACTACAGCCAGTGGTACAACTCTCACTTGACTTCCTGCTGCAACCTCGAACGCATTTTCATTGTACGCATCCAATTCCATATCCCAACGCAACTCGTATTGTAATTCCCACTGCAACCAATAGTATAGTTTTCCGCAATGTCCCTAGTAACGCTCTTACTCACATCCCAACTGCAACCAGCAGTACACATCGAAGCACGGCCTCCAATGCGTCTCCCACTACACTTTCTAGTGATGATGAATGTGTCCAGTGGTACAGCTCTCGCTATCGCTCTGAATCGACTGTATAGTGCTTGTGCGAATGCAGGTCCTACTAATGTTCCTTGGCAGAGCTCATCGGGCGGCTAGCATTACATCAACTCAGCCCCACTGCAGCTCGTTCAGCTGACTACAGATCCTTCAGCTGTTCGTACTACAGCTCCTATTGCAGCCAGCTGCAACAATCCCTCTCATCTGCTCCGCCTACACCTCTCACTACAACTCCGACTGCAATTCCTACGATGGCTCCTTCCATAACTCATACACCAATTCGGACTGTAACCGCTAGCAGGACAGTTCCAACTACAATGTGTTGTTGCAGCTCCTGCTGCAGAACATGTTACACATCCGATTGCATATCGTAGTGCAGCTCTTACTGTAGTTCCCACTGCAGCATGTACTACAGTTTTGCACACTGTGCCTAGATAGCCCTCCTGCCACGAGACCAACAGCAATCAGCAGTGCATGTCCACATCCAGCTCGCAGCGCCTCCATCTACGGTTCCTGTTCAGATCCTCGCGTAGCCAGTAGTACAGCTCTCACTGCAGTTTCTGCTACACCGCTTATTACATGTATGGATGCGTATCCTACGGCAGTTCCCTGACACAGCATTGACTACTGTTCTCATTGCAGATCTTGGAGGAGAAAGGCACAGAGGATATATAAGAGGGAGTCGAAAGTACATTGGAAGGGGACCTGGGGGGGGGCGAGCTATACTCCCCAAGCAGCGCTTACACTTAGGAGTCCGTGCTTTTTCTAAACAGCAGGTGGGGCGGTCTGGCGGTTATGTTGCCGCCGTCGCCGCCCCGTCGCCGCCTTGTCGCCGCCCGTCGTCTGGGCCAGTGTGGCGGTCTGGCGGCTTTCGTTGCCGCCGTCGCCATCCCGTCGCCGCCTCGTCGCCGCCCGTCGTCTGGGCAACTGTGGCAGCCTGGCAGCTATGTTGCCGCCCCGTCGCCGCAATCGCCGCCTTCGATTGCACCACATACTCCCATGCAACAAAAATCGGCTCTACCCGGCCCGGGGTTTGATTGCCCTCCCTGCGATAATACTATGTACATATGATCCCGTCCAATCGTTCATGCCAAATGCAAGTTCACATCATCCTAAACCGGCTATCTCCCATTCTGTCAAGTGACACTATGCGCGCTCACGTTTATCACACATCATCAATTTTCCAAAACCCCGCGGTCCACACGACACTCAATCCACACGCGCGCGTCGTCGCGCGCGCATGTCGGTATCCTTCGAAAACACAGGGCTTCGTAGAAATGTCAAAATCGATGTCACCGCAACCTGCGACAACCCAAGGTCTTACAACATGGTTTCCAGATGCGATTTGCGCGCTTTCGCGAACTCGTACGAAAACCATATGTCTTTTGTTTATATGTACTGCCATCGGATGAAAACAAGTGGGCCCTTCGCGGACGCGTGCCAAACAAATCGAATGCTCGTGTCCTCAGGTCGATTGTCCCTTCCTGCGAGCCTCAATCCTGTCATGAAGAGTTTCCTCAAGGCCCATATCCCAAAGTTTCAAACCTCTCTGGGTTTGTCGCGTGCCCTCTGCGCTCCAGGAAATGGCATGGCTAAGCGAACGCCGTTTTCGGAAGGTGCTGGGGGGTTAGCGGGACGACGTCATACGCGGACCTGAATTAAACTTCTCTGTCCATGGAGGGGAGCGACTTGCGAAGCTGTCGCCGCCATTTTCGAAGGCTGCTGGGGGGCTGGGGGAATGACGTCATATTCGGGCCCAACCTCGACCTCGCCACCCCTGGGGGGCTGCGATTTGCGAAACGATCGCCGCATTCGACGGCTGCTGCGGGGTCCACTAACATGACTTCACACGCGGATCGAACCTCGATCTCGCTATCAGTGGGGGGGGGGGCTGCGATCTGCGAAACGACCGCCCCTTTCGAGGGCCGCTGGGTATCCAACGGAATGACGCCATACGGCCATACGCAAACTCCAAATCGACCTCACCATCCCTGGAGGGCTGCGGTCTGCGACAGTGTCGCCACTTTCGAACATTGCTGGGGGTCCAACGGGGTGACGTTCCACGCGAACCTACATTCGACTTCGCCTGACCTTAAGGGGGCTGCGATCTGCAAGGGCGTTGCCGCTTTCGAAGGCTACTGGGGCCCAGCGGAGCGACGCCCCGCGCATGCCTAAATTTGACCTCGCCTTCCCTGAGGGGCTGCGGTCTGAGAAACTGTCGCCACTTTCGAAGGCGGCTGGGGGTTAAAGGGCAGGGCGTCCTACGCAGACTTATCCTCCTGTGGGGATGCGATTATGCGACGCTGCAGTGGCTTTCGAAGGCTTTTGGGGGGTCCACCGAGGTGACGCCTTACGCAAATTCAGATTCGACCTCGCCATCTCTGGGGGGTTGCCAACTGCGAAATTGCCGCCACTTCCAAGGGCAGCTGGGGGTCCAGCACAGTGACGCAGACTCATATTGACAATGACATTCTTTCCCGCGGACCGCCCGAAGACCTGGCGGAGCGCCTGCGGGTGTTTAGCTCCCGCAATGCAGAATGCCAGAAGGCAGCGGAAAACCTGGCGGGCGAACTCGGCCGCGCTCGCTTCTTGCACCAGCTATGAACAACTGATCCTTTGGAGCGCCAGAACGACATGGCGCGGGCCACGCTGCTTGTCCAGCGTGCCAATGGCACATGATCGCCAC